AGTACCCTAACATTAAATGTAATTCTTTAGTGTCTGTGTTGTGATGGTGGCACACAACAAACTTGTGACCACTTTATGACCCCAGAACTTCTTCCTCTTCCCTCATTTACAGCAGATGAGATCATGAATTTAGTCCTTGACATGATATTTGCTGTCTGCTTGATTTCATTCCACTTGTTTCTTAAGTCCTTAAACTCCTCCTATTCTTGTATGACTTTATCCTCCTTTATTGGCGGTGCTTCATAACACGATGTCATCAGCATGTTTCATTAGTGTTGTCCTACTTGTGTCAGGGTGCTAATGAAAATATTAAACGAAATCAACCCCAAGCTTAACCTTTGAAAAACTCCCTCCAAAGGAAGATTATTCTTCAACCTTGAAAGGGATCCAATTCTGAGACCTCAAGATCCCCAAAGTGGCATCTTCAGTGTCCTGTGAAAAATTTACAGATGAAAAGCTCTCCCTCATGACATGTCAAGGTGACTAGAGGAAGGCCATAAGTCATTGAAGGGTTTTGGCAAGATGTAGACAACAAATAAGCCCTCTTCAGAAAAAACCCCACATGTTTGGTATTCCAATGAAGTTGCTGTCGATAAAGAGGCAACAAGATAATCATCTGCTGCTGTTGTGGGATTTTTTTTTTTTTTCCCCTAGTCCTCCTAAAGCTTGGCTTGGAAGCCCACCACTTTACGGACTGTATTCTCCTTGGCCAACCCAAGCTCATGGATCTCTTTTCTGGACCATCTGGGAAGGCAGTTATCAGTCACAGCTTTGCTGTGACGAGCTGCTGTGTAACTAGGCTAGACAGAATGAAGTCAAGCAAGGTTCCTAGTGTGCCAGAGCTCTGCTGATGCAAACAGCAACTCTGCTGACTTGAACAGATGATAAAACAGTAACGAATCTCATCCGGACAAAATCTGCATGGACATTACCAGTCCTCTGAGCCCAGTCTTGACACTGCCTAAATGTGGCAACAACATCTGAATGCTTTTCCCAGGAGGTGTGATTTGCTGAAGAGGATCATTGTGGGCTCCTTAGGAGGTCTAATAAAGTACAAGCCCTTTAGTTGTTCCACTGTTCTATTTTTTTTTTTTTTCCTCCTGCTCTATTTCAGTGCCAGCACATACTTGTCTGTGATGTAATTTTTTTCCATTAATAAATCCACAGGTCCTGCTGGATACCACTATTATGTTTGCAAAATGTTACAATGCTAATGGAGCTCTGCTTATTTCACGTATCTTGACAGTATGAAATATTGGCCTCCTAAGCATAGATTTTCCAAGGTATTTAAGCGTTCCACTCTCCTTGGACTAATGGACATCTTGTTAAAGCTGTCAGGCTTCAATTCTGGTTTGGCAGACGCCATGACCTTATGGTGAAGCAGAGAGTTGCCCTTGTGTTTTCTTTTAACACGGTCAGCTAGCCACTGGATTCCCCTGTCCCAGGGCTTGCTGCTAATAGACATGTAATCGTGTTTTGCTGCACAGAATATAAAAACATCCATTTTATTATGTAAAAATGGTCTGTTGGGTACCCCAGCAGCAGCAATTTTGACAGCTGATTGCTTGTTCTGATCCTCAAGAGTGAGGTTTTACAAGATGGCTTGGTTTAAGAGCAGCACAGAGGGAAAATTTTGTCTTTGGGGTGTGCTCTGCACCAAACAGCCTCCTTGTACACAAGATATTGGAGAATGAGGTACGTATTATGCACTTAAAATAGAGCCCTTTAAAACTGGCACAAGATACTTAGTCTTGTCCGAGTATCATTAATCACAGTTATGACTCTCAGACAAAATGAGCCTCGACTTCATGTTTCTTGTTAAAATAAGAAATGTGCATTTCTGTACTTCATTTTCAACTGCACTCACTGCACTTCGTAGCGTAGCCAAAACTAACGTGTTTGAATCATTATTTCATATTTATTTGGACAAATTCTGTATGTATAATATTTTTATAACAAGATAGCTTATTTTGACTATATTAAAAGAAAAAAATTACTACACATGTCTGGAATGCAAGACAAAAGAAGGATTTCTTACACTGCAGTGGACGTTCAATAAGTGATCTGAAATCTGACTGCAGTCACCCAATAGCTTCTCTTACAATTTCTCTGCTTTATTTTTTTAAAATTTCTTTCTTTCTTTTTCTTTCTTTCTTTTTCTTTCTTTCTTTCTTTCTTTCTTTCTTTCTTTCTTTCTTTCTTTCTTTCTTTCTTTCTTTCTTTCTTTCTTTCTTTCTTTCTTTCTTTCTTTCTTTCTTTCTTTCTTTCTTTCTTTCTTTCTTTCTTTCTTTCTTTCTTTCTTTCTTTCTTTCTTTCTTTCTTTCTTTCTTTCTTTCTTTCTTTCTTTCTTTCTTTCTTTCTTTCTTTCTTTCTTTCTTTCTTTCTTTCTTTCCTTTCTTTCTTTCTTTCTTTCTTTCTTTCTTTCTTTCTTTCTTTCTTTCTTTCTTTCTTTCTTTCTTTCTTTCTTTCTTTCTTTCTTTCTTTCTTTCTTTCTTTCTTTCTTTCTTTCTTTCTTTCTTTCTTTCTTTTTCTTTCTTTCTTTCTTTCTTTCTTTCTTTCTTTCTTTCTTTCTTTCTTTCTTTCTTTCTTTCTTTCTTTCTTTCTTTCTTTCTTTCTTTCTTTCTTTCTTTCTTTCTTTCTTTCTTTCTTTCTTTCTTTCTTTCTTTCTTTCTTTCTTTCTTTCTTTCTTTCTTTCTTTCTTTCTTTCTTTCTTTCTTTCTTTCTTTCTTTCTTTCTTTCTTTCTTTCTTTCTTTCTTTTCTTTCTTTCTTTCTTTCTTTCTTTCTGTCTCTCTTTCTTCCTTTCTCTCTTTCTTTCTTTCTGTCTCTCTTTACAAAGCCCTCTCAAATAGAAGCTTTTGGACATACACCTGTCTAGCATAAGCCTCAGTTTGGCTGTAACACTAAGCTCCTCTAAGGTTTTCAGCCAGTGAGGCAAACAGCACTGATGCAAATCTTACTGCACCACTGAACTGGAAATTCCATGCACGGATACAGTGATGCAGCTGCACAGGTGGCTGAAATCCCTGGGTAACATGGACCTAAAAATAGGGCACTGTCCCACCTCTTTAGCCAGAATTCCTCAAAGGGCAGGGGCAAATGCAAGGATAAGGGCTCAGGGAATGAGTTATGCAGAGCCTGAAAGGGTGATAGTGCTAAGCCAGGTCTTGCAGAGGTGAGGTTGGAGCTGAGGCAGCTGAAGGAGGTAAGCCTGTGGGATATCGAGGAGAGCCAGGCGCAGCAAGGCTTTGCCTCTGTAGCAGAGTCAGAGCTCACTTTTAAGGCCCCTGTGCTGCTTTGCGGAGCAGGTGCTTTTTTTTTGCACTTGTGTGTGGTCAGAGTAAGCTTGATGCCAAATCTTGGGATGTGACACACTTGTTTTTAATGCCCAACTAAGGTGGGGAACTCATCTATCTGCTTCTGCTGACAAAAAAATCATTTGTTTCTTGTAAAGTTATATAGTCCCAGGCGTAAGAAGCAGTATCAATGCAATACCACTACCCAGTCGTCAGAGGAGCCACGCTTCCCAAAACAACTGTAACGTGAGTTGTGAGTGCACGCACAGCCCAAATGCTGTCTGAAAAAAAGACTGCTCTAAGTCTTGGCTGCTCTAAGAAGGTTGTAGACATTGAATAAGAGCTGGAGTGATGGTAGGGTAAAGGAGGGGGTGGGATTTGAGTTCCCTCTTGAAAATAGGAGAAAACTGCCAAAAAATGGAGGACTTCCTGGTCAGGCTGCAGATCCCAGAGCTGAGAAGGGAACTTGCCCGGCGGGGTGGCTGCTCAGCAGGGCTTCATTAGGAGCTTTCAATTACTTATCTACTCTGGAGTCAACAGCTGCACCTCAAAGGCCTGGGCAATCTCCTGAAAAGTTCGGACCCCAACGTTTCCACGCGCGGTGCTGGCGGGCACCATGCTGCGGAGGAGCGGAGGGCCATCGCACGGAGACAGTCGCTTCAGCACCGGCACCAGCTATAAATAGGCACCTCGATGTCACTTGTATAAAAAGCAGCAAGTGAGAATTAAATAGTTTCTGAAGAACGACTACCATCCAGGGACTGATGGAGGGCATCTATACCCTTTTGGGGAAAGAGAGTCTGCTAAAGTTAGGTGTTTTTTTTTTTTTTTTCTTTTTCTGATACAGCCACCAGTTGCTTTATACTCTCATGGGAAGGGATGATATATTAAACTGCCTGACACAGTTTTGAATTTGTGGATGACCCAGATCTTGGTTGCTGTATACGAAAACTGCAAGATAAATGTTGGGCTGACCAGAGCAGGCAAGCGTTGCCTTTTACCCTTATCAAGTTTGAATCAGTGGTAAAATTAAGTCCTAAAGATTAAATGCAGCTTGCTGGTCTTTCTCAGTGAAGGGGTGGGTGGGTTTTGCAGCCCTATTTTCTGTCACGTCTGTGTAACACGTTTGGTGTCCTGAGCTTGAGAGACTTTCAATTCCTATGTAAGGAATTATTGTGAAAATTGAGGTGCAAGGGCTGTGACAGGAATCCCAGAGAAGACATGCTCCTTGTCAGTGTGAATTAATTAAGCACTGATGTGTTTGACACTAGAATTAATCGCGTCCCCTGACACGGACAAGGAAAATTCATGGTTGAAGGGTTCCCACAAGGGTTATGAGGCCAGGTGATGGTGTTGGGGAGACAGGTTTCTGGCGCACTGCCGCCGTATTTGTGGCAGCAAAGCGCACACACCCCCCCACCCCAGGTTTACAGCTGGTGATATTCTGGCATCCGTTTCCTCGATTTCAGGGAAATTTTCTTCAGCTTTGTGGACAAGAGGCCTCGGGAGGGCAGGCCGCCGGGGAAGGAGTCCCCAGCCAGGCTGCCCACAGCCGGGGGAGCTGCTGTGGAGGAAGGGGGGCGAGCAGACCGCCCGCTTTTCGGGAGGGTCGGTGAGGGGGGGAGGCGGCGCCCGGCCCGGCCCCTCAGGGCGGGGGGCGGCGGCGCATGCGCGGGGCGGCGGGAGGCTGGGGGGGCGGTGACGGCCGGGCGCTTCTCGCCGGCGCTGGCGGGCGGTGGCGGCCGGTGGTGGAGGAGGAGGAGGAGGAAGAAGAGGAGGAGGAAGAAAAAGAAGAAGGAGCGGGTCCGCCATGGGGACTCAGGGGGCCGGGCGAAAGCGGCTGCCGAACCGGGAGCGCCTGACGGCGGAGGACGATGCGCTCAACCAGATCGCCCGTGAGGTGAGTGGCAGGAGGCGACATCTCCCCCCCCCCCCCCCCCGCCATCTCCCCTTCATCCCCCAACCGCCGCGCACGCGCCCCCGCCACCCCGGGCGACAGGCTCGGCGGCGGTTCAAGGGCAGGTGGGTGGAAAGGCGAAATAATAAAAATCGCATTCATCTCGTCGTTGTCCGGCCCGTTTTATGATCTTGGGGCACAGCTTCGGTCTGAAGCGCTTGAAAGCCCTCATCCGTGAGGGAAACGGCGTAACGGTGCCAGCCCGGGCAGAAACCCCTCCCTGCTGCAGCCCCTCCGTGAGGGGAAATTGTCTCCCGCTGCTGGGGCTGTGTTAATGACTGAGAACCAGAAAACAGGCCACTCGGTTTTTTTGTGGATACATACAAATGAAAAAAAAAAAAAAAATATATATAAGCCAGCAGGCTGCAAGGTGATGCTAGATGTAGGCATAAGTGTACAATCTAACTTGGAAACTGGCTTATATTTAATGTTAGGCTTGCTGTTTGCTAGGCACTGCATTGTACTTGATCTGACTTGAAACAGTTAAAGCCAGCTGATGGCTGGCATTTTACCTCCTTATTCTTACAGTTGCATTGGCTCAGGGGTGAATAGGGTGGCATGAATTTGGTTCCTACGTTTACTAACGCTGACACAGGTTGTTCGGCATCCTTCCTTCCACAGCCTTCCAGTGAGGGAGATGGGCAGGCCCAACCCGAGATTGGGATAAGTGGCTGTGGGGTTGTTCTTCACCTCATCTAAGCTGATCCGATGCTGGCCGCTGCTGAAGGTGGCCATCCTCTTCCCCTAGCATGGGTTATGCGTGTCTCCTCCCTGCCTCATGTTGGTCTGGCCCCAACCAAGGTGGGTTGCAGGATAAATTGCTCTTCTAGAAGAAATTTCAGTGTCTTGATTTCCCTTCCTGAATCACAGTGGGAGCTGATGAATGCTGATGTGCAGCTTATTTTTGGTGGCAACTGGCTGTTAGATTGAGTTAGCAATAACATTGTACACCTCGGATATTATCACTAATGGCAGCCCTGGCATGGAAAGCCTTTACTGTTGTGTACCATTTTGAAGTGGTTTGTAGCATCTTTGAAATACATGCAGTAGACTAATTTCTGTGTGAGTGATTTGGATAGCATGTTTCTAGAAGTCAGATTTTTGTGGCAGTATGATGAGAAGATGAGAAAAATCCTAGGGCTGGAGTTTGAGGTAGGAGGACAAGAATGTCTCATGTCCTAGACATTAGATAACAAGTAAGAGTGATTGTGCTATTAGAGTTAGAGTCATTATAACATCCTAGGAATTGCTTCATGATGAGAGTTTAAATTCCACAACTGTCCTGGCTGTGCTGTCATTAGATGAAGGAAAACCTCAATCCATAACAGGGCGCCTAGGTTGTCCTTCTCTGTTGCACATTTCTCTCCTGCTTTCTTTAGCTTATATACTGCTTTTCACTGTATTGCATGGTGGTTTGAGGCCTCAAATATTGTGTTGTCTGTTGTTTTGTTTTTTTTTTTTTTTTTTTTTTTTTTCTTCTGGGGATTGTTTAAAGGACAAATTCATTTGGTCAAAAAGCCCATGTCTTTTATCTTTTCCCTTGAGTGCTAAAACTGTGAACTGCCAAGTTCAAGGTTCAGCATTTTCCCATATTATCTTAACTCTTTGCATTGCTCTGTCTTGGATTTTATGCACTTATAATAGTTTTGTTGTTTAGCTGCCTGTTCTCCATACAAGGGATCCCAGATGAATCCTTCTGTATGATTTAAAGAACTCTTAAAATATAAAGTAAGCCTTTTGCCTCCTCCTAATAAAGATGTTGAGTGTCTTTGTGTTAAGAAGGGTACCAGGCTCACAGACACTTTGGCTGTTCCAGCCTTCCTCTCAGGTATTTAGACAAAGCTGAGACATAGGCATGTTGCGTTTGTGCATAGGTTTTCCCTCTTCTCTTTCCTTTGGTCTTCCTTTGTTACCATGAAGATGCAGGTGCTTGCGAGTTATTAACAGATTCTGGGATCTCCTTTTGCTGTGTTCATATGGGAGCCTAAAAAAACATCCAGAAGAGGTTTATCCATATAGGTACTTTTTTACCTTGGGATCTCTGGGAGTGAATTGAAATGTGTGCATCTTCTCTCTCCTTTTGGTTTTCCTCCAGAAGGATTGTGCTGCTTTGACACTTTCCAGTTTTATTTTGTAACTGTCAGAATATCTTGAAAAGTCAATAGTTCATGTTATACTACGTGCTTCTATAAGGACACATCAAGACTTGTAAAAACTCTCTTAAACTCCTGCCATTTGAATCATAAATATTTTTGAATTTGCAACCAGGATGTCTTGCTGTGTATGTACAATCTTGCATGGACCAAAAGAGATCCTCGCATAGTGAAGAAGGCAGTCCTCGCCCCCATGGGCTGTGAGAATGGTCTTAAGAGGAAGTAACTAAGCAAGTGGAAGGAAATTGTAAAAGTGAAGCATATTGTAGTAACAGGGTTTTAGTAGCAGTATGAGTTGTGTTGAGCAAGAGTAGTAAGTTTTAATGTTAGAGGAAGTTTCTGAACTAGATCTGTTGAGAGCAGAGGTAGAAGGTACAGTTACTGTAAATCACCTTGCCCGTCAGGGAAGAGTAGTACTGTACCACTAAACCTGGCTGTTGAGTTTCTGATTTACATGTCAATTAAATCGATGCAAATATGCAAATACAGTTAACATAAGAACATGGTGTTCCGAGTTTCTAATGGACACAGATGACTGCCACTCAGGATTTGCTGTAAGCACACCTAGCTTGTATTGCCGAGGTTATTTTTTTCCAGCTGTCAGCTCTTACAGATGAGAGCGAAGCTGATCAATGATAGGCTTGTCCGCTTTCAGACTCATGTTGACGCCAGTAGATTATTCTGTGTTTAGGTCAATGGAAACTTTTGGGCTATTTTATTCCTCTCTGTGAATACATGCCAGCAGTGTTTGCAAAATCTAGCAGTTTGATACTCCTCGCGATCTGTGCCAGCACAGCCAGCAGTAATCGTGTATGTGTGCTGTGCAGGCATCTGCCCGTTCCCTGGGGCTGGGGTACCCCTGCTTCGGGAAGGCAGAGTCCTGGGCTGCTGAGCCTTACTGGGACTGGCCTCCTGCTTTTTTCCTGCTGGGGTTAGATGGGTTTGATGTGATAACTTGAGACGTTGTTTGTAGGGGAATATTACTTTTTTTTTTCCTAACTTCCCCTATGCTCTTTGCTAGCTACAGTAATAGTTAAGTGTTACATGAGCAGAAAGAATTTTGCAAATCCAATGAGGATCTGCTGTCTGTGTAAATGAAATATTTCTCTTTCAAGCAGATAATATTAGTTACTGGTTTTTGTTTTCTTGAATGAACAAGATCAGGGTAAATTTCTTGTTTTTATTAGGAAAGCCATTTATATCTTGTTTTGCTAATGTTTTACAAACAGATATGTGTTATACTGCTCAGAAAAACAATCCTGCCTTGTGTCATCTCTGTGATGGATAGAAAAGAGAAGATTTCTAGCAATTTGCACAGTAGAACTCTTTAGCTAGTAATTAATTAGAAGTTATTATTTAAAGCAACATAACTTTAATTTTACTGTTAAAGGAAATAATGTTACCACGGTTGCTTCTTCAGTCTTTGTACACTGTATGTCACTTTCAGAGTTTCAAGAACTGTCACCTACATACTTACACATACAAAATCATTATTTTTTTAAATAACTGACATGATCAGTTTATAGACCGTAAATTTGATTGTTTCACTGAAGCTTTTAGTTTGGGCATTGACTTGCATTCTTAGTGATTCAAATATTGGGCTGTTACACTCCTATGAAGGAGCAGAAAGTGTAGCTGATTAGAAATAGCTCAAAATGCAGGTGAAACCAGCCCGCCAGCTTTACTGGTTATGGTAAGAAGGCACTAAGTAACTTCAAAAGCCTAAATTGGAGTTTCAGGACTAGTGAAGAGATTCTGTGATCACCATCTGTGGAATCTTAAAGGCCTGGCTTTTGAATTGAGGGCATAATTTGGGGGAGAATTCTCTGGGTTATACAACAATTTGGTTGACTTGCATAAATAGAGATGGAAACAATTTGGTAAAGGTCGAAGCTAAAACAAGAAGAATGGATATTTATATATAGAAATGCAAGCCACACAAGCTTTCTTGAACCGTTATGTAAACCAGAGCACTGAAGGTAGCATGTTTCTGAAGGATGTACTAGGTAATGCCTGTGTAAGGTCTGTGTGCATCGTTAGTATAGCGGTGGAACTTTTTTGAGCAGTATTTGGCATTAGAGATGCATGAAGACTTGTGTAAGCCAGATAAATATTCCAAGAGAAACCATTAGAAACAGTCTGGTTTATGTAACACCAGTTGCTCATACTTGACTTATTTTTTCATTTCACTACTTTCCGTCTTTATGAGCATTAACATGTCAGCTCAAGAGAACAAATGATCTGAAAAAGCATGTTTGGCTGTAGGTCTGTCTTCTAGAATAGAAAGTTATGAAAGCAAGGGATGCTCATGAAGGCCTTGACTCAGCCCGGTTGACCTAAATATAGGAAGGAAGGAGGACTTTGTAGGCAATGCTTGCCAGTAGGGTGTGGAGAATTGTTCCAAAATTGAGATGATTTTCTGTAGCAAATGTGCTTTTCTTCGTCAAACATTCCTTTTTCCTAATGTTTTACGTCTTTATATCCAACAAATGGCATTGGCATCACTTACAGTCTTTCCCATAGGAAATGTGTGAAGGAACAGCTTTGAGTGGTTTAAGAAGCAAGTCAAAAATCTTAAGACCCATCTCATTTTAGTTAAATGGGTGATTGTAGCCTGTCTCCCGACGCAGTCTGCCTCACAGTATGCCTACTGCAACTTGGAAATAATTAGTTGCCTGTTTTTGTGTCCGTGCCTGGCCTGAGTCCTCTTCAGCTGTTCTCTTGCTGTCCGAGGAAACAGCTGTTTAGGAACTGTGACTCCTATTTCAGTCAAGCAGGAGACTACTGTTA